ACAGTTTCATTCTGATGTCTCATCTTGGCATGCTAGTAACCCTAGGTTCTCAAAGGCTCTGCCAGCTTGGAGAGACTAATCAGTGGAGAGTGATAACTATTTTTCGGTTACAGTGACTCTTAAAAGAAATGGAGAGGAGTTGTGAACAGTGGAGGAAGAATCCACCTCCATGAAATCACCCAGATCGTTGAAAGATTAAAGCAGAACATTTCTATGCACATGCTACGATACTTACTGACCATAATGGAAATATAGGTCTTAAAATCTTTTTTTTAACTTTTACAAATTAATTAATTAATTTTTAGTTTTCCACATTCACTTCCACAAGATTTTGAGCTCCAAATTTTCATCCCATCTCTCCCCTCCCCCACTCCAAGACAGCGTGTATTCTGAATACCCCTTTCCCCAATCTGCCCTCCCTTCTGTCACCCCTACCACCCTTCCTCTTATCCCCTTCCCCTTCTATTTTTGTGTAGGGAGGGATAGATTTCTATACCCCATTGCCTATATATCTTATTTCCCATTTGCATGTAAAAACAGTTTTTAACATTTGTTTTTAAAACTTTGGGTTCCATATTCTCTCCCTTCCTCCCTTCCTACCCACCCTCATAGAGAAGGCAAGCAACTCAATATAGATTATACATGTGTAGTCACGCAAAACACTTCCATAATAGTCACATTGTGTAAAACTAACTATATTTCCCTCCATCCTATCCTGCCTCCCCACCCCATTTATTCCATTCTCTCCTTTGACCCTGTCCCTCCTCGAAAGTGTTTGCCTCTCATTACCCCCTCCTCCAATCTGCCCTCCCTTCTACCAACCTCTCTTATCCCCTTCCCCCCTATTTTCTTGTAGGGTAAGATAGATTTCCATACCCAATTGAGTGTGTATGTTATTCCCTCCTTAAGCCAAATCTGATGAGAGTAAGATTCACTCATTCTCTCTCACCTCCCCCCTCTTCCCCTCCATTGTAAAAGCTTTTTCTTTTCTTTTTTTTTTCTTTTGGTGAGGCAGTTGGGGTTAAGTGACTTGCCCATGGTCACACAGCTAGTAAGTGTCAAGTGTCTGAGGCCAGATTTGAACTCAGGTCCTCCTGATTCCAAGGCCAGAGTTCAATCCACTGTGCCATCTAGCTGCCCCTTTAAAAGCTTTTTCTTGTCTGTTTTATGTGAGATAATTTATCCCATTCTATATAAGTCTTAGTTTTGTGTAGGTCAACCTAATCTATGTAGCCAGCTTGACCAACAGTTTTTGCTAGGTTTCCCAAGTAATTTTCCCATATTAAATGGGATAGCTATGGTTAATAGAAAATATCATTAGATCATAGGTCAAAGGGTCTGGGTTCAAATCTTGGTTCTTGCTGCCCATGTGACCTTAGCAGACCCCTTTACTTCTCTGGGCATCTGGTTTTGCTTCTGAAAATTGAGGGGACTGGACTAGATGACCTTCCAGGTCCCTCCAGCTCTAACTAGAAGATGCCCAATCATCTTCTCCTTCTACACCTTCCTAATCAATTCATCCATTAGAATGGTGAGATCTTTGAGAGTGGAGACTGATTTTTGCTTTTCTTTGCATCTCCATCACTTAACACAGTGCTTAATAAATGCTTATATACTGACTGTCTAGTACCTCTCCCTCATTAGAATGTAAGCTCCCTGAGGATAGGTAGGTAGAGTGTTGCATAGTAGCACATTGCTTGGTATGTAGAAAGCATTAATGAATGCTTTTCCATTCATTCATTCTTTCATTCATTCATTCATTCATTCATTCATTCATTCATTCATTCATTCAAACATTTCATGGTTCACTTAACTTACTTCCCTTGCAGATAAAAGCTCCTAGACACCAGGGAGTGTTGTTGATTATTTTTTTTTTTGGTGACCCCAGTGCTTAGCACAGTGCCTGGTATATAGTGGGTGCTTAGTAAATGCTAGTTGGCTGATGGATTGAAGATAAAAATTGGCATTTTGCTCTCCAGTTTGGCATGGCAAATACAGACTTTTGGGGTGCCATTTACAGTCTCATCTTGTAGTGTACCTTTAATAGTCACTACTTCCTTGTTTTCTCACATATTATTTTATTTTGGATTGATTTCCTCCAGTTTCCCAGATTGATGTAGCCAAAGAATTGATTTCCAGGCTAACTTGCTGCTGAGGCTCTTCGTACTCAGTGCGGCTGGTCCTCAGGAGGCAGCGCCATCTGTTTATGGGTCTACACACCAAACCTAGATAGCTCACTAAGACCGGCCAGAGCTTGGGATCATTCTGCTGGCACCTCTTGACTTCCCCTAAAGACAGTCCATGGTTTTCATGCCTGATTAGTGAAGGAACCCAAAGCTCCTCTTCCCTGTGTAAATTACCTTCTGTCCTTAGGTGGTGAGGAGGAATGAGGAGATTTGTTTTTTCTTTGAGATGTCAAAGGAGAGGGGTTTTATTGTTGTTTTGGTTCATTTGTTTATTATTTTTGGGTTAAGAAAGAGAGATAAAAATATCTTGATTAACAAATCAAGGGGCTAATGACCTCTTGGGCAATGTCTACATGGGGCTACTGGTTTGTCCAATACTATTAGTTCCCAGTCAAATAACAAGTTTGAGATAACCGATTGAGTCAGCAGGACCCAGCCATCTCCACCGTGACCCTGTGCAGTTCTCTGGCTAATACCATCTATTGGGTAACTTCGTCTTCTATAGGGTTGTGCTTTCACGTGTGTGTCCCTTGTGTGCCCAACCAGACTATAGAGAGAGCAAGCAGAGACAGACATCTTGTTTTGGGGGTTCCCCAGCGGTGCCTAACATAGCATCGTGTTTTGTATCCAGTATTGATGCTCAGTAAATGATCGAATGCGTGAAGGTGGGAAAGTCACACCTTTAGAACTTACATTGTCAAGCTCTCCTTTGAAGTCTCCTAAATTTCTCTCTTTACCTTTCCAATCCCTGTAATCACCAAGGGAAGATATTAGTTGTTGTCGAGTCATTTCAGTCATGTCAGACTCTTCTTGACCCCATTTGGGGTTTTCTTGGCAAAGATAGTGGAGTGGTTTGCCATTTCCTTCTCTAGCTCATTTTACAGATGAGGAAACTGAGGCAAGCAAGGTTAAGTGACTTGCCCAGGAAAGCACAACTAGTAAGAGTGTCTATGGCTAGATTTGAACTCAGGTCTTCTTGACTCTAGGCCCAGTGCTTTATCTGCTACACCACCTTTAATATGTACATGTGTATGTGTATGTGTGTGTATATGTATATATATGTATATATAGTATATATATACAACTGCTTATTATCTACCTAGCACTATACATGAAATACTTAATTTAAATTAAATCTATATATTTAAATATATGTAGTAGAGAGAGCCTGGCAGAATAGATAGAGACCTGGCCTCAGAGCCAGGAATAATAATAACAATAACAACAACAACAATAATATTTATATAGTGCTTATTTTCAAGTTACATCTCTAGTGACAGTGTGACCTTAGGCAAATCCTTTAACCTCTTAGTGCCCCAAAGAACTCTCTAAGACTAGAATTTGCAGAGAGGGTGCTGACCTACTTTGGTGAAGGAGTTTTCTTATTTGAGAACTCCCTACATTAGTAAAATCGCAAGTCTACTTCATGTATATATACACACATGCACACATACACATGCACACACATTTAATTTCTATATATTTCATTTCAATTAAATTGGCTTTGGATTGTCATGCAAATGAGAAACCATCTAACTTCATGAGATGTTACATGATAATATTGACCAAAGGTAGTATAAAGTTATTATTGGACCATTAGAGCACAAAATCAAGGAAACATGGAGGGACTCCACTATGTCAGTAGGAAAAGCATAGAGTCCAAGAATCCTAGGATCACTGGATCATTTGACATTACAGACCACCCGCTTGTGGACATGATTTCCTCCCAGGGGGTTCATAACAGTGCTCTCTCCTAGATCTGCTGCTACCCATCAGACATTTAGTTTTTTGTCTCCTTCCCTGGTTCATCTTCTGACTCATTTTGATCCTTTCATTTATGTCTAATTGTCTCCCCACTACTACCCCCTCCCCAGTGACCCTTCTAAAATGTCTCCTCACTCTTTAAGCAGATGGCTAGCTATCTCCTTCACTGAAAAGGCAGAGTCATGCTTCATTAGCTCTTCCCCACACCCCAATATCCTTTTATGTTTTCACCTGACTCTTCTCCTTTGTTCTCAAGTTTCATAGAATGAGGCAGCCCTTCTTGACAAGACAATCCCTCGACAAGTGGCCTTGATCCTATTCCCTCTCCCGTCTTTCAGAAGCTTGCTCCCTCACATTATCTCCCCCCTTTCCTTCATTTGTCTTCTCTCTATTGGCTCTTTGTTGCCTACAAACATACTCTAGTGTCTCTATCATTAAAATATTTTTCCTTGATATTGCCAACCCAAATTTTTATCCTATAGCTCTTCTCCTCGAAAGAATAAGCCATACTTACTACCTTCCCTCCCCCACCTCATTCACTTCCTCTTCCACCCCTTGTAGTCAGTCTAGTTTCCAACACAACCGCTTTATAGAATCTGTCCCTTCTAAGATCAGTGATGATTTCTTGATTGGTAAGGGGGGTGACTTTTTCTTAATCCACATCCTCCTTGACCCACCTGAAGCATTTGGTATTTTTGACCACTCTCTTCTCCTGGACAATCTCTCTTCCCTTGAATTTCAGGACAATGCTCTTTTGGGGCTCTACTCTTATTAGCCAATCATGCCGTTTTTTTGTCTCTCCTCCTCCCAGGAATCCTCCAAAGCTCTCTCTTGGACCCTCTTCTCTTCATGTAGAGTTATCCCTTCCACATCATGGGGGTTGGGGGTGCAGCACCCCCATTATCAGGAAAATCCACATAAAATTTTTAATTTTCCCTCCTTACCAGAGAAAAAGTCTAAATCTTTTCTTTTTCTTTTATGGGGTGTTTACAGCACTTATTGTAAAATTTGGGTTGGTATTATACAATATTGTACATATATTTTATGCATTTCTAAGTTTCTAAACTTTTTTCTGTGCCATCTGCTGGCCTTTGCATGCTGTCTGAGGCTTTTGCAAACCTCCCCAAAAATTACCGTTTAATTTTTTATGCTGGCCCACGATATATCAAAACCATAATGAAGAATGTTACAATGTGAGGAAAACTATATTCTATATTCTAGACAAACTGGCTTCACTCCTCCCCTACCTCCTACCTAAAAAAAGTCCCCAGTGCCTAGCACAGTGGCTTGGATCCAATAGATGCTTAATGCAAAGTTACTGAATGAAATTAAAGCGACCCAGATCATTTGTCATTACCCAGCTTTGACCTCCTGAGTATTTGGTGCCATGGAAAGAATGCCAGGTGGGGATCACAGGACTTGAGTTCAGATACTAACTATGCCACTGGCATCCTATGCGACCCACAACCAGATTACTTACTTTTCTGTCCCTCAGTTTCCTCATCAGTAAAATAAAGGGGGAGGGGATTAGATGAACTCTAAGGTCCCTTTGTACTCTAAATATTATGATCCCATTAGAACCCAAATTGCTTAACTTTTTTTTTGGCGTACCTCAGGTTTCTCACCTGTAAAAATAGCAAGAAGGAAATTTTATTTCATATCCATCTCAAAGGCACGCTCAGAATACTTAAGAAATAATTGCAGGAGAGCATTTGGAGTTATAGGAGACTTATGTACAAGTAAGAGCCAGAGACTGGGTGTCAGGTTCGAAATATAACTTTCATACTTAACTAGAGGTATGATGGACAAGTCCCTAGAACTCTCTGAATCTTCATTTTCTCTCCTGGAAAATGGATATAATAATGCTTTTGCACCCTGCTTGCCAGGGTTTTTAGAGAGAAAGTGCTTTGAAAAGATCCTGTATAAACATGTGTCATTGTGATCATTCTCAGAGGCTTTGACCATTGAAGTCAACACCTAGTTTGTGGATTATCAAGCAGGACTCCCATGGTTTATTTTAGCCACAGGCCATTTATACTCTTATCAAGCCTGTTACTGTTCATATCCTATCTCTCCAACTCAGAGCCATAAGCAACATTCTTCCACCCTGGGGTAAACTTCGTCTTTTCTCTGGCTTCCTCCCCACTTTACTCTCCTATCAATAACCTGTTACCAGAGCAAATAAGATAAATTAAGACAAACTCAGTTGGTGGAGGGAGACAGAAGCCCTGGAATACAATGATATTACCTTGCCGTGTGGTAGAGGAATTTTACTGGGGGTATCGGTTGTGGAATTTAGGGGAAGGAAAGAAGGTGGTACCATTGGATAATAATTTCAACTAATTATTTTTGCTACTTTGATGCAAAGCTCATTCATTTCCATGTGTTGAAAGAGTGTTGTCAGTGCCCTCTAAATTTCAGCACTCTGGGTCAAAGTCCCAGGGGTCCTACTCTGGTTTCTGCTTTGCAATAACTAGATTGTAAACCCTTCCATGTCAAGGACTGGGCCTCCCACCTTTTGGTGTAACCAAGTGTCTACTTTGCGCCTTCCACATAGCAGGTGTTCGATAACCCCTTGATGCCAGAGATGACCACCCATCTTGCTGTCACACCTGTGAGTTCAGAGATAGGTGGTGGTCTTTAGATGCTCACAAAGATACTCAAATCTCATCTTGTGCCCCCCAAAGACCAATCAGATCATCCAACCCTGAAACCTAGTCCTACCTTGGCCTTGGAGTGAAGTTTTTGAAAAGTCCTTGGTCAAAATGCTTTGCCTTGTACACAAAGGCCGAGCAAGGCTGGCCAAAGGCACTCCCTCCCACCTGTTGGAGTGTTAATGCCGGAATATAATTGCCTTAGGATTCTATCTGCTGGAGCAAGCACTCTTTAAATCAAACAAATTCTGTGCCTGGCTGGCCAAGCCCTTCCATACCTATTAATGAAGCATCATTAGAAACAGCAAGACATTGTGCCCAGGATGGAAGGCACTCATAGGCCACCTCTTCCTATGCCAATGAATGATTAACTTAATGATTTTCAGCAGCTGTTCCTCATAATTACAGCCCAGAGGAAGCAGAAGTCTTTAATCCTAAAGCCTGGTATCAAGAGGAGACACAAAAGTGGTTTGCAAACCTGTTCTTCCTCCCAGCCAATGGTAGGACTTGTTTTAAGTCTGGATTAGCAGTAACATTCAGATGTCAATAACTCCTTTTGACAGTTGACCCCTGAGGGTGTCCTCACCTTTTATATCCCAGCTGTTTGTGTTTGCTTTTCAGTTCTTGGACAGATATTGTCTGAAATGTTACATTTGCAAAAATAAGAAGAAACAAATCTTGAAACAACCGTGGGATGCATCCCTTTTGAACAATCTAGCTGTTCTGTTTGTGACCTCCACCTGCAAGTCTGTTGGCTTACAATGTAGCATCACAAGTATGTGGTTTATCACTGGGAAGAACCTCCTGCTTTTGTTGACTTATATCATTAGATGGTGCCTTTCATATTTCTCTTGATCTTTCGGGCAACAAAGAAACATTTTGATATGATGGATAAAGACTATGGGAAAGAGGAAGGTCTATATCTTATTTTTTTATATATATATAAACATGCGAGGAATTGCCCTAGTGTGGTTTAATGGATAGAACTGGCCTTGAACACTTGGATTCAAGCCCTGTTTCTAAAACGTGCTAGTCATGTGACCTTGAGCAAGTTATTTAACCTTAATTGTTCCAAGCAAATCTGTAATATTATGCAGCTCTACACCTATGAAATTACAAGGCCATACCAGTTCCGTCTCCCTACACACCCCAATTAGGATAAATTTGTAACATTTATGGGATGATGTGTTCAAGAATTCTTTAGGATGAGAAGACATAAATAGATTGTGATCTAGAAAACAGGTGGTGGGGGTACACATATGATCATTCAGGCAGCTTGGTGCAGTAGGTAAAGTGCCCAATTAGGAGTCAGAGGACTTGGGTTCAAATTCTAACATTGCCTTCTGGATGACCTTCAGCAGGTCACGGAACCTCTGGGCTGCTGTTTCCTCATCTGTAGAACTGAACTAGATCAGATGGGGGCCCACAGTCCCAAGTATGACTAGAATCAGATTAAAATATAATGGTAAAATTTTTAACAAGATAAATTAGAATACAATAAAATATAGGTAATATCACATTTTAAAACTGTCAATATTTTACCCAAAAGGATCTTTATGTATGGATTAGTGGCCTCTGTTTCTATTTGCATTTAATACTACTGATATAGTGGATGGTCAGCCTTTGAGCCAGGAAGATCTGGGAGCAAGTGTTACCTCTGACACGTACTGGCTATGAGTGATCCTGGATAGGTCACTTAAATTCTTAGGGCTCGAGGCACAAAGCTGCAGGCAAGGTGCCATATTGTGTTTGTAGGAGTCACCCCTCTGGGGAGTTCTATATATGATGAGATGACAGGTCCAGTCCCTATCCCTGTATCATTTCCATCTGTCTGTCTTCACATCTATCCATCCAGATAAAAAAGCAGCAACTTATTGCATTCATCAGTTAGAATTCATTTGTAACAGTGGTGTAGCCTAACCAATAGGGGGCTAGATTCAGTCAGTGACACTTGGCTACAAATCTTGCTTCTGACGCTTTCTGATCCCAGGGAAGCTGTTTAAACCTCAATAACCCTCAGTCTGTTCTTCTGCAAAATGGCCACCATCTTTGGCCGCATGGAGCCCATTGAGTAGCCAAGAAGAAACTAAAATTATGTTATTGATGCACCCAAGGACCCTTAGACCCTCCAAAATTCCCAGCTCCACGTGGACTCCCACTTACATCACAGGGCTGTTGCCAAGATCAAATTGGATGATGCTAATACTAATAAATAGCATTTATATAGAACTTATGGTTCTATATAATTTGGTTTGCAGAATGCTTTTTACAATATGGTAACTCATTTGATAATGTATGCAAAGCAGTTTGGAAGTAAAGACCATATCAATGTGAACTGTTACTTTTCTTATTGTTTTGTGTAATGATTACTTGGGGGATGTTATTTCATTGGTATAAGGAGGTCTTCAAGAGAAACTCCTCTTACCAAGGCATATGACCAGCTGTTCTGAAACTTACTGCCTCTAAGAATTTCTGGGGCACTAGTGCCCAGGGTCACACAGCTGGGGTACATCAGGGGCAGGGTTTGAATCCAGGTCTTCCTGACTCCAAGGCAAATTCTCTATACACTCTGCATACTACTTCTGATAATCACATAATAACAGCGGACATTTATTATGGTGCTGGTGGTTGTTAGCAACCACAAGTAAACATCCTGGCACTAATACTGGATTATTTTTTTAACCTAAACATCAAAATTATATTTTTAGGTACTGGAGCAGTCTGAGTTGTCTCCATGGCCCTGGATGGTCAAACAAGTGACTTCACACTTTAGTCCTTTTTGGAAATAGTTCAACTAGACTCCTAAAGGCCATGAGAAAAAGACCAGTGAGCTCACAAGATATTCACCTACCAAGGGGCTCATTTGATGAGGGTGAGTGAATGGAAAATTGCACAGCCAAGCTTTTATTTGAAGAGTAACCAGGGAAGCATCTCACACTAAAGCCTATATTAGTTAAGAAATAGCAATGATATTAACAGCAATAATCCTTTGTATCTGTGGGGAGCTATTCAACTCAAGCCAAGGGTGATGCTTCTGGGAAGAGTTCTTCCGGCAACTTCAGCTATTCACCATCGACTTCTGTGAAACAGGAATTTTCCAAATTAGCTGAAAATACACATATGCATTAGTTATTAAAGACAGACATGGCACAAACTCAACAGAGACACAGTGGACTTTGCCTGTTGCAAATTCAGTGAATTTTGATACTTTCAGGATTGGTCATTCCTTTAGTGTGGATGTTACCCTCCTCCCTTCACGAATGAAGATTGTAACACTTCTGGGCCTAAATGAATTGTCTTCAAGAGTTTCCGTGGCCAGAAATCTTCACTTTCTGGTGGCCAGTCCTGTGATAAGCCACTCTGAACTGGTCCTCTCTAGGCTGGTCCCCAGACATCAGACATATGGTCTATTACATCTTGGTAGATAGAACCTGCTAGAGCATATGCCCTGTTGACGGAGCCTTTGAGAACCTGAGTTCACAGCTAACCTCCAATAAGGCACAGGAGGAAAACTCTCATTTCACAGACTTAATATCTATAAATTGATTGCATGACACAACCAGTTCTGGTCATAGGACGCTGGCAAGACGATCTGTATTTTTATGACTATCATTTCTAAATCACAATTGCTTAATTCAACAGCAGTCATCCCCAAAGAGCCGTGGGTTGGAAGTCTATCTTGAGGATGAAAGGAGAAAGAAGGTGGTGGCTCTCTAGGGTAAACTCTTTCTCTGAGGCAGATAATATGGCACAATTGTGAGCAAACAACAAGAAAATATAAAGATGAAATAATAACAATTGCTAGCATTTAAATAGTGTTTTAAGGATCTCATTTGACCTTCACGACAGTCCTAGGAGGTGGATGCTATTATCACCCCCATTTTACAGATGAGAAAATTGAGGCTGAGGGGGGCTAAGTGACCTGCCTAGGTCACACAGCTGCTCTCCAAGTCCAGGACCCTTAACTGCTGAGCCACCTAGAAGCCTTGAAACTTACCTCTTTCCTCTTAGTAGAATAGGGATGGACCATGGGTACTGAATGAGACACTTATGATCAGATGTGGTCAATATGGGCTACACTTCATTGCTTTGTTACCAGGGAGGTATTATTGGGCAGTGATGAGAATGTTAAAAAAATTAATGAAACTTTTTTTTTTTTAAACAAAGGCACTCCTCCCCTTCCCCCAGATTCTCAGTTTCCTGATCTATAAAGTGAGGGGGTTGAGCCCTGGGGCCACTTCCAGTTCTAGACCTGTGATGCTATGAAAAACAGAAGGACCCTGAGGCTTTCTATGTGTTTCCATAAAGAGCTGGCTGGAAAGCAGGGCCCTAAATCACGCCACTATTGTTTCCACACTGGAATAAACAAATACCTGCTTCCTTCTCGATCCAGAAGGCAGTGATAGGACACGATGTCTTTCTCCAGTTGTAGCTTGCCAGACAACAGATGCTCACGGTCTTTTTGCTGCTGCTCAGTTTCCCTTTGGATTTCCCCAAGCTCCGCTTCTAGCTTGGCGATAACAGAGCCCAGGTTCTGGAGCTCGATGTCATGCCAGTGCTTGGCGTCATACAACGAGTTCTCCAGACCTCTTTTCTAGGAGAAGAGAACATTTGGAAACAATGGGAAAAGCAGCCTCCTGGAGCGAGGGAGATAACAACCCATCCCAATAAGTTCTTCGCAGTAAGCTGATGATCTGGGATGCGGCCAGATCAATTATCTGTCCTACTTCTGGTAGCGCTGTGGCTTATTCTCCAGGCACTAACATAACAACGATGACAAGTGAGATTTTTTATAGCACTTCAAAGTTTTGCAAAGTGCTTTTGTCTCAATGGAGCAATATAGCTACTGACCCTGTGAAACAGGTATGGGGCGTATCTTTACAGTTATCCCTTCCACACTGGGACTTTCTTCTTCAAAGTTTCAATATATCAAGGATTGGTATAAGAAACTAAATGGGAATTTGGGGGGAGTTTTGTGGAAGCTGAAGACAACATGTGAAAGCTAGCAGACAACACAGAAAAAGTTCAGAAACTCGGAAATACATAAAATATATGTAGAGTATTGTAAAATGTCAATTTTATCTTCTAATACCATAATAATTCAGGCTTCTTTTCTGATACAAAGAGAGGGCCAAAAATTTTTACACGGGGTGCTGTGCTCCTAACACCCATTATGTAGAAGGGATAACTATCTCCTTTTTGCATACAAGAAAACTGAGGCTCTGACTCGGTCATAGTCACACAGCTAATAAATATTAGAGGTGGCATTTTAGTTCAGGTCTTCCTGACTCCAGTTCCAATACTCTAACTATATACCATGCTGCCTGTCTCAAAATTATAGAACAGATTTAATACTGGGTGATTTTTGTGGGCTGTTGGTTACTCTCATTCTGAGGATGGATTGCTGACTGGTGATTGTCACTACACCTAGGATAGTTCCATCCACACTTAATGTCACTCTCCAGCCATCTCATCTGGCTCAAATCATCTCCCTGTGAGCCTCAGTGTGTTCATCTGTAAGATGGGGATAATAGTATTTTTACTGCCTACTGTACAAGGTTGTTGTAAGGAAAGTGCTTTGTAAACCATAAGGTACATTTACACATGAGTTGTTGGTATTTCTATTACTGTTACAATCTCTGATCCAGGAAATAAGTCATAGATAACCATCACGCAGAAGGTAACACATGTGTCCAACTTGCTTGTGTGGATCAGAGACCGAGAAACACAATGTTCACGCACTTCTATGCTGACTTTGAGAGAACTAAGATTTTTAGATTAGTTTCTACCCTCCCCCCCATTCATTCAACACATATTCATTGAGGACCTACTATGTGTGATCTTTAACCCACTTTTTGCTCATACTCTCTGATGTTCTTTGGGTGGCATCACATTTTGCGATAGAGGTGTTGTATGTTCCACAGCCTTGGAGTACCTCTCTGGAAGAATGTTGATAGTATAAAGGTGGACTTTTGTTAGGGAGGAGCTTGGGTCCTTGAAAACCCTGTGCAATGTCCCAAGGGCAAGTTGCCCTTTTCCTCCTATTCAACTCTGGGTACGGCTCATGTGTAGCATTTGTCTAAGACACACATACTGGTGGATGAGCCCAGTGAGCCGCATATCCAACTGCATGTCTGAGTCTCAATAAATAGTGTAAAAGGATTCAATTACAAGAAGTTAGGATCAGTAACGGTGGGCAGCGAAGAGTCTTCAGAGCCAGGTGACCTGAGTACAAATCTTGCCTCTGGCATAGCCTGACTGCATGACCCTGGGCAACTTACTAAGTTTCCCCATGCTCTAGGGTACTCCTTAAACTAAACATTACAGAATAGTTGTCTATTTGCATCGATGAAGGGGCGAGCTCCTCACTTACTAGGAGTTCCTTACACTAAAGATACCACAGGTCGATCAATAGTCAATGGGAGGGCTAACAGCTATACAGGCTGCCTGAGGCAAAGATACCTCCATAATATTAAAAATAAATGAATGAAAAGAAATGGTGGCCAGAGAGGACTGTTATACAAAGGGAGGGGTAATGGCTGGGGTCATAGCTTGAATGATTGTTGCAGGAATAGAAAGATGATGTAAGAGAGGAGTCCTAGCTCATTGGATAGATCCTCATGGGAGATTTATGAAAGACCATTGCCTATAGCTTGTCACGTGTTACAGGAGGCTTTTCCTCATTCTTCCCGGTGAGCACCTTTTCCCTCACCAAAGAATAACTTAGCATTTACTTTGTATATATTTTGTAAAGACTTATTTATGGATATTTTGTATCATCCCAGTAAAACGGAGGCTCCTTGAGTGCAGGGGCTATTTTTTTGTTTTGTCTTTGTATTCCTAGTGCCTAGTAATAATTCATAATAACTAATATAGCACTTTGAGGTTTTGCAGAACAGTATATATATATATATATATATATATATATATATATATATATATATATATATAAAATCTCATTTGATCCTCACTACAACCCTGGGAGGTAGGTGGTATTACCATCCCCATTTTACAGATGAGGAAACTGAGGCAGACAGAGGTTAAGGGACTTGCCCAGGGTCACACAGCCAGTAAGTGCCCTAGGCAGAATTTTAATTGAGGTCTTTATGATTCCAAGTCCAGTACTCCCACCACTAGTGGGCCTAGCTGCCTGGTATGTAGCAGGTATTTAATAAATCTTTAGTCAATCAACAAGCATTTATCAAGCATCTGCTCCGTGCTAGACACTGTGCTAAGTGCTAGGGATTCAAAGAAATGCAAAACAAACAAACAAACGAGCAAACGAGCAAACAAAAAATACCGGTTCCTGCTCTCAAGGAGCTCTCAGTCTAGTGAATTATTACATTGAGTTGAAATGTTTAGCACTGGCTACCTGGGAGCAGCTGTAAGCAGCTGCCATTCCGTAGAGGCAGGGCATATCATCTTAACTTCAGCTTCTCCAGATGCCATTGAATGTAGACATCGGAGCAGATCCTGGGTAATTTTGCAGAGGCAAAATGAGGCCAACAGGACAGGACTCTGGATCAGGCTTTTTAATAGAACTCTATCCATAACAGGAGCTAAAAACCAATCCCTGCAATGTGGGTGGCAGAATTAGGCCACCCTGAACTTGAGAAACATGTTCTGATCTCCCTGGGCTCTCCCCTCTACTTTTTGTTTTTTAAAAAATTTATTAACCTGTGGGTGGCCATTCACATTGTATGTGTGTATGTGTGGGTGGGTGTTCAGGGAGAAACTTGTTATTATTGTGATCCATTAGTCTAAAGGTCTTTCTATTTCCTCAGTTTACCTCCATCACAAGCCCTGGAATGTCTGCATTTAGCTTGGACCTAGACAGGGAGAAATCATGAGAACCACCATTTGACGGGCCAAGCCTCACTTTGTGGGAAAAGCCTGAAAGACCGAAGCTCTGATGTTGGCACTGCTTTTCACTCTCTGTGTGAGTTTATTTCCAGGCCAATGAGACACCTGGGTTGGGTGATCCTTTCTGGTACTGAATCCATGGTGGCATGCCTCTCCAACCTCTCTCTCTCTGAGACCAGAACCAACATGCTCATTCTCCCCTCAGAATTGGAATCCATTTCTACCATGGCATAATTTCAACCTGGGAGGTTAATAGGAGCTCTGCCATGGATAAAGGAACATAGGATTGTAAAATTTTAGAAGTGTAAGGGGCCTCAGAGATCAACTAATGTAACCCTTTCATTCTATAGATGATGAAAGAGAGACCGAGGAAAGACCCAAGGAAATGTTTATAGTCACATAGCAGGTATTGACAGAGACCAAGATATTGAAATGACCATAGGCTCATAGACTGAGAGATGGCTTTAGAGGCCATCTACATCCGAATCCTTCATTTTGCTGAATCTCAGAGAGTTGAGATGACTTGTCCAAAGCCACCATCTTTGTAGCTTCCTTAACTCTGGTTGGAAGAATAGCATATTGGATAAAATGCCGAAATTGTGTTCAAACCCTGCCTCAGACACATTAGTTGTGTAACACAGAGTAGCTTGTTCTTTAGGAGTCCTTGTTTTCTTATTTGTAAAATGATGGCGCTGGATCAGATGGCCTCCAAGACCCTTTGCAGTCCTAAATCTATGAACCTGTGGACTTAAATACTGTTTTCACCCCTAGGACCAAAAATCTGGGTGTTAAAAAAGAACTTGCTGAACTGCTAAATCTTCTCCCTCCTCTACCACCTCCTTCCTTCTCTCTCTGAAAAGGTTTCTGTGGTTTCTGGCCTTGTGTTACATTCCTGATCTCAGTTGACTGAACATGCAGCTTAGGAGGCCTTCAACATCATTATTAGGACAAGGCTGCCAATATAAACATGGCTGTGTTAGCACAGAAGGCCTAGAGGCTTCCATGTTATTCAGGCAATCTTGTCTGCTGTTCAAAATGAGTCCCCATGGGGCTTCAGTGTGTCCACATCAATAATAGAGATGGGAAGATCCCATATGATGGCTCAAAAGTTGTGGGACTAATTGGTTCCTATCCAGTCTCCCCCCCCTCCCCCCACTCCCCTGCCACCCTTTTTGGAGGCAATCAGGGTTAAGTGACTTGCCCAAAGTCACATAGCTAGTAAGTATCTGAGGCTGGATTTGAACACAGGTCCTCTTAACTTTAGGGGCCAGTGCTTTATTCACTGCATCACCATCTGCCCCCTCCTATACAGTCTTTTTTTTTTTTTAAGCCTTTATGTTTCCTCTCCAGTCTTAATCAGGATTCCTGAACTAGGAGTCAAAGAAAGGCCCTAATAATTGATAATATAGCCTTAGGACCAAGGCTGTCAGAGCTAGAAAAGACACAAACTGTGACAAAGAGAGTGCATTAGACCTCCAGTCAGGAGATCTGGGTTCAAATACTACCTCAGACAATTGCTAACTATGGTGAGGTGCAAATCACTTAACATTTCTGAGACTCCCCATTTGTAAAATGCATATTATAATAATATTTCTCCTTCACAAAGTGGTGGTTACTTTGCCAAGGTTAAAATACTATAGAAGTGGGAGTCATTTCTAGAGAGCCTCTGTCCCCCAAGATTTTTTCCTTCTTTTTAAGATCCTAATCCTTAGGAGCCTGCTACTCTAACGC